ATCCGAAGTAGGAAACAAACTGAGACCTAAATCTTCTTTCCAAGGTCCATTGTTTATATATCATTACGGTTATTCCTTTCAATTGGCAGTTGCAGCTTTGATGATGTGCGAACTCGCCGGAACTTTTGCAATCTTTCTCTANTGTATCTCTCTGGAAAAATCGTATATATATATATATATAAATTTTACATTCGTTTGTGATTAGAATTTTTCTTATACTTAAAACCGCCCATTTTCTATCGTATTTATGTTATTAAATTTTCATTTCATTTTTTAATATTGTCTTAATTCAATGCTCGTTCTACAATATTTAATGCTCGTTTGTTTTTCGCTTGCAGAATGGATAATTTCAAAGCGTTGAACAATTGGAATACCTCTGGAGGGGAGAGAGTGCAGAGGATAGCTCCTCGACATCAGGATTTTCTTCCTCTTTAATTCGTGATTCACATGCATCCGAAAGAAGTGTTGGAGGATGCGGAGGAGAAATCTGATGAACCCGACAAGAAACGGGTGATTGTCATCATTCCCGATGAGAGCACGTCGTCTGTCATCGATTACCTGCAACAGAGATATCCACAAGTTTTTTTATTCATTGTTTTATATTTTTTGTGTGCTCTATTTCTTGTGAGAGAGGGAGGAGGACCGGTAAGAAGAAAATGTCTAGGGCCCCAAAGTGGGTTAATCCGGCCCTGTCCTTTAATACTGAAATAATAAAGGAGACCTGATACCCTTCACAAATAATGTACAGTACAGTACAATACAATCTCCACATCCATTGCTAATCGAGAGCTTGGTGAACGCACTGCCATCTGCTGGTAGAAATTGTCGAAAACCACAGCTTCGAATGGATTTTCGCAATTATTTAGTCGGTCAAAGACGGTTCCAAAGATTTAGATAATTACAAAACAAAAAAAAAACTAAATAAATAAAATAAAAAGCCAAGAAAAGATAGATTTATAACGTAGTTAGCAGTTCATTGTTTGAAATCGGGCATATGTACAGTATATGTATATATATATACATACATATACAGTTATATATGTATATATATATATATATAAATATATATGTATGTATATATATATAATAACGGTATCGTCGAGGAGGACAGATCTTTCGTCATTAACAAGTGCACCTCTTTACGCCACACGTGGTGTGGCCCGTCAGTCACTGCCACTGTNTTAATTACTCATATAATAAAAAGACAAAATGCTTAATTTTGAAGGTAGAGATGATTTTTTATTTGGTAAACTAAAAATTTGTGTGGCTGGACATATCCGAATTTTCACTAAAATTCGCGTTAAATAGTTTTTCAAAGAAAAAGAAGCTATAGAAATAATTAGAATTTTCAAGATCGCGGAAATCTTGTAAGCTCGTTTGGTGTTAAATAAACGGTTTCTTGTAATCGTAGAGTGTCCAAGTCAGTGCGGATCGCATCCAAATAAAATCCTTCAGCACCTCTCGTCCGTCCTAACCATCTCACACCCTTTAAGGCAATCTCACAGAACAAAATAGTGTTCTTCCCCACACTTTCATACATACAGAAAAACCCCCAACTCTTTTTTGCATTTCTAAACGTTTAAAGGATCCTTGGGTGCAAAAATGTAAACATCTTGGGGGTTATATTTTGAGCGATCGCCGTACTTTCTATTATACATAGGAGCCGGGAAAGTAAAATATTTTGAATATATATCGTTTATTATATCATTAGTGCTTTTAATGCCATAAAATTCTTAAATAATGGTTAGTTTCTAAATGTAAAGTTAAAACATATATTAAATGTCAGCACTAACTTCGTCAATAAATTTTAATATAATTATTATTATTAGGGGACCCCGAGATATTCACACAGAATTGATTATATGGATACCAAAATCTGCGAATTATCAAGCTCATTGTATAAAATGGCGGAATATTTGCATATAACTTAAGCACATTTCATAATTTAAATTATCTCGTGAGATTTTTGTGATACTTAACTATATATGAACATTCAATGCAAACCGGAAGTCACGTTATTTTAAGTCAAAAATTTTCTCTTAAAGGAGTTAGATAGATGACTGGCACGACTCTATTGTTAAAGGAAAAGTATGATGTACAGGGGCAAGATACTACTAATTTGAGGTGGAGAGCATTTAAATAAATTAAAAGTATAATTGAAAATTGCTGTCCAGAATTGTGACGATGCCACAATAAATAATTGTTTGTTATTATTATTATATAAAATGAAGTATACTCTTATTATTTAATTGCAAAATCGTCTTTTTGTCAAGTTTATGATTGACAATGAAAGTGTTTTACTTTCATGACTGTTATATAACAGAGGAAAAGTATGGCAGTCGGTCAAAAAATGATCACCCAACATTTTTACATTTTTGAAGTCATGAAACCTCCGAAACGTCGAGAAATGCAAGAAAGTTCGGAGTTTTTCAATATGTATGGATGTTTGTGGGGACCTGATTTTTTTCACCCACTTTGGAACTTAATAACGTCCGTGCCTTTTGTCGAAAATTTATGAAATTTGGTAGGAAGGTTTGTGTATTAGAGATAAATGTTTCCAGAAATTTTCAGGAAAATCAAACCATTGGTTCGGGAGATATTAAGGGGGTGGGGACCATGTCTCAAAATCTGTTATGAATTTTTTAACTCCTGTCTTTTGTCGGAAATTTCCAAATTTTTGCAGGAAGATTTGTATATTAGAAAATTGATGCTATTAATTTTGGAGGCTAAAGGTCAAGAGATTAGGGAGATAAAGGGGGTGTGTCATATCTCGAATAGGATAGGACTTTTTGAAGATTTTACTTTGTCTATTTTTTTTTATAAAACTTAAAAATAAGTTCAAAAGTTATTATTTATTATAAAATTGCAAAAAACTAATATAAAAGTTATTTTTTAAATAAAATCTCAACAGTGCGCCATACACAATTTTAATTTTATTGCAGGGTTACGAAACTGATTGCTGGATTTTCTTGTGTATGATAGGTAAAATGGTCTAAAAATGATATTTGAGTGCAAAAAATGGTATATTTAGCCGTTATTTTTAATTGGTTGTATTTAAGTATCCAAGAGAAAAATGAATATATTTTGACATCCACTAACTTTTTGCGAAATGCGGACAGTTTGTATCTCTCTGGAAAAATCGTATATATATATATATATAAATGCAGTAATATATTTCCTTCGTTTCGTAGTTAAAATGTTGAGGAATTATTTCCGTCATACCAGAACATTTAACATTATTGAAAGAAATTATTGCAAGTTACTTTCCTTCCTTAAATATAGAAAATTATGACTAAACATGAAATCTATTTGGCACAGTTAATACATCGAGTTAGGAAATTTCGTTACAAGAATAATTGATTATTTTGTCAGCGGATCATACTTTAAACGTGAAATTCTCTGAAATCTCTTGAGATTTTTTAATGTTTTCTTTTGTTATATAATCTAGTCTTTTAAATAAAAAGTACGTTCGTGTTTATTTTTGTTATTTTAGTGTTCCAGAAACTTTTATATTCAAAGCTGTTCCTTGACTTCGAAAAGGTTAAGAACCACTGTGCTATAGTAAGACTATTAGAACGGCCGAATAGATTTGCCAAAGCGGCAGACTACCGCTCTGGGGACTGGGATCGAAAAATCCTAAGATTTTTTTGGGGATGGCCTGACCGAACCCATAATGGAGATGCTAAAAAAAGGTTCTCATAGTAGTAAGTCTCTCCGGCCAATTACGATAGACTTTTTGCCGATATATACATGTTGAGCATGTGCTCAATAGTAAGAACTTCTATTCCCTCCAACTCTTCTATCAGATAAAACTGTTTTGATCTATTGAGAATAGAGTAACATTGTCAATTAGTTTATAACACGAAAAAATGCGTACTGTTACTTGCCTGGCCAAACCCTCCTTTTATTACTCCTTCCACCCTGTGGACACTAACAGGATCTTTCAATCATACTCATCTTGGTTCAGCCAAGCTATAACAAACCCACAAAAATTTTCTGAGATTTTTCAACTGCCTTGATTTGATCCCAGGTATCCAGATCAGTACGCTGATATCCTAAATGCCTGGTCAATTCAAATCCATCAGCACATTTTAAATACATATTAGGGAGACTAAAATTGGCCTGCAAAGGGTGCCTAAAAACCATAATTCCTTATTGACCACAAGACTTGTGGTCTGAACCCAGTTCCCTAGAACAGTAGACTGAAATCTATGCTGACCATACTCAAATCTGTTGAAACGACAGGCTTAGTCAACAGATTTAATACTGCAAAAATAAGATCCAGTTTGAACTCTGGCAAACAGTCAGATTAGGACATAACAAATTTGTTTATTAGTCCAAAAACCCCCTTTCAGGTAGTTAGATAAATAACTGCAAAAATAAGTTTTAATTTTTGTGTGTGAAATTACATCCAATATTTCAGAAGCCAGACAGCTGAAGCAAAAATGAATAGTCTAAGAAGATTCAGATTGATTCAGAATTCAGAGTTCCTGTAAGAAGTCTCAAATTTTCACCAGTGTGCTGCTCAGACCTCATTTATCAATTTACTATTATTCATAAATTTAGTTGAGTGATCCAAAGGCTTAACCAGATTTTGCCATTAGAGCATGTTGGAACAAATTTGCATAAAGATTCTGTAGATAGATCTAAAAAATTTCAGATCAAGGATAGACATATGTACCCTTCTATCCCTCTTCCAATATACCCGTATTATAAGACCACATTATGTGGTTTATATTATGTATATAGTTTTATCTAAAGCATAACAACCTAAAGCAGCTCTCAGACCCTCACTTTAATGCGGACACAACGAGGAAACATTTTTTTTGACAGAAAATCAATAAAAATACTAGTTTTAAAGTCTTAACTTTCATATATTTTGTAGAACATTAATTAAGAAATGTATAAAATAAAGATTTGAGAGTAAATTCAAAAGAACAAAATTAATATGTAAGAATTTATAGTTTCAAAGTAAAAGAAAAAGAAAGAAATGCAGCAAAAACAGTGCAATTTATTTTACTGTATAATTATTAACATAATTGAAAAATTTTATGTAATATACACTTTGATCAATGTACAAAAATTAATATAGAAGAAAAGAAATTATGATGTAAATTTTTTTGTGCTAATCTGTACAAAAGTGGTTTGTAAGTAAAGAAATAGGAATGGCTAAGATACTTTTATATGGCAGTTTGAATTCAGACGTTTTTGAATGTCAACATTTGTATAGTTTTTAAATGTAAAATATTAAGATTTTCTCTCTCAATCTTAATTATTAGAAATTGTGAAAATAAAAGCTTAACTAAAGTTATTTAGAGCAATAATTTTAGATATTCTACTTAAAAATTCAATTTGATCATATACAACTGAGAATTTCTTATAGAGATTTTTAAGTACCGAAATAACAAATATATTTGTTACTGACTGTTTGGATTACAGGCAGCAACAAGAACTTCAGCTTTTGATTTGGCTAATTCTGTGGCTTTCTTTGCTTTGTCCTTTAATTTTTCTTTGTTCACTATCAAATTGGGAACTGTTTCTTGATTATGAATCAGAGGAAATAAATTTTCCAGTACGTAATTGAAGCCTCGACAAGTTTTGATTGAGTTCTGTCGAAATCTTTCCACTCCGAATGCCTGAATGGCTCGGGCAAATCCAAAAACTGACGACGAAACCCAGGCGTAACGATTCACAACGGTCCATTTTGGATTATCTTCACACATCTGGTATACGCATTTTTCTTCAATTGTCTAAATAATAAGAAAATTTTATAAAATTAGCAACTAATTATTTTTAAATAATTAGAAATAAATTATTATTACCATTACTGATTTAAAACCAATATTTCTTGTATACGTTGTTATAACCTTATTGACTGGATCAACCACAGATTCTTCAACTATTCGAACACACTTTGTACTGACAAATCTCTCCCCCCATTTGGGTATCCTGTTTGTTTTGGTCAAAAGCCTTTTAGAATGTAACTTGCCGTCTTTTATTTGTCGAAAAACGACATCCTCTGATAAAACGTGCTGACTAATATAAAAACAATAATGTAAGTTTAGTATGTATTTTCTCCAGTTTTCAATAATTAAAATAAATAATAATTTTAAAATTCTTATAATTTGATTTTCAAATAGTGAATAGTTATAATGATAATTTACACTGAAACATTTTAACTAATCCACATATTATAGTTAATGCATCAGTAATTAAACATTATTTAAATTGAATCACAACATACTAAATTGCATTTTAAACATTATTATTACATGTATACAAATTAAAAATTACAAAAGCACCATATATTATGTCATATGAGACACAACCACATTTCAATGCAGAATATTTAGGAAGTATTATTTAGTGTATTTAAGCCACTTTGTACTCTTGGCCCCAAATTTTTTTTTACTGTATTCTAGTTAAACAGCTAAAATTAGAATGCACACTTTTAACCCCTTTTCTCCATGATAAATAAAATAATTCATTTACAGTTAAAATTTATTATTAAACTACTCTACATTAATATATACAAAAGCTGCTTAGTTACAGCAAGCAATAACATCTTTATTCAAGAACTGGGCTAAGTCAGGTTACCTATAACCTAATGAAGGCTATTAGGAAAATTCATTAGGCTATGGGCAATCACAACTTCCTTCATATATAAGATTCCCTGCATTTTGTGTGTATGATCTTCCACAGGCTTTTTGAGCTTTTCTTTTTATGAACAAAAGCTGCATTTTACTGTATATGCTGTAAAATAAGGTACACTTTGTAATTTAATTTCAACAGTAAATATTTAATAGTTCATATATATCAACATCAATGGATTAGTGTTCGATAGTTCTTAATGTAACTTTGTTTTTTGTAATGTAATTCATTATACACTAATTAAAAATTTCACCTCGAATACCTAGCTATCACAGTGAAAACTGACAGAGGTTAATGAACAGATTTATTTTAAATTAATCCATGTTCCTCTTCAGCCAAAATTTAAAACAAATCACAAACAACATGCCAGATTGGTGACAAATATAATAAAATATCTAATGTAAATTACAATTATAAATCTAATACATGATACACTAAAACCTGTCCAAACAGAACTTTAATAAAATGGAAATCTGCCTAAATGGGAAAAATTCTTAGGAATGCAGAGAATGTGTGTTAAAAACACTGTTCATAATGGAAACTTGCCAAACCAGAAAGAATATTTACTATATGAGTCTAATTTACATGGATTACACTGTATATACAATTTTATAACACTTAAAATGCATATGAACTAATATCATCAAAAGTCCTACAAATTTCATTTAATGTGGACTGAGAATATGACGAGTTATAAAAAATGAGTTTTACAAATGGCAATGATACTAGTCTAAACAGCAGAATTTTCATAAAGGTATAATATGTGCAAAACTGTGTAGGTATTAATTACATATAAATAGTGACTATTTCTATTTGTAGTTAAATTTTAATTAAAAAAACTATTGACTGTTTTGTGGTTACTTTTGAGTTAGTGACATTTGCATGGTGGCATTTTGGAAAAGGAGTTACATTCTTTGCTAACACACACACACACACACACAATCTTTTATTTAGGTACATATAAGACGTACATTTCCGGTACCGCATAGGCATAACTGGATTAGTTATATTTGTAACTATATTTAACAATTATTTAATAACAATCATGAGTTTTTAATTAAAGTTTTCAATTAAAGTTTAGGATTATTCTAGAATAAAAATGAAGACATTATTAATTAGTAAAATAGTTTGTGATATAACAATATTATAAATTATTTGTGACATTTCTTTTCTTATCAATAATTATTAATATTTATATATACATATATAAGTTTTCTAACAATGTCTTTAAGTATTTAAATAACATATATATGTGAGGTGAAACATAGTTATTTAGTTAACAAAATATAAACAATTTTTAATACAATTGTAATGAATGCTATAAGTTTAAGAATAACAATAACATTTATGATTATTTATATTCACATATATAAATTGTGGTTTGTATGATATGTTTTATTTAATTTTAATTTTAAAATTCTATAATAAAAATTTATATTAGAGAGAGTAATATGACAGTTCATATTTGGATATGAGAGAGTGAATATAACAGTTCATATTCATTTAACACTCATTCCAATTTGCCTGAAGATCCTCATTGATCTTCAAATCACAAGACACTCCTTGCAGTCCACAAGCTGATCAACAACAGTTCGATTGGAGAGTTCTGAACAACATTCTTATTCAGTCTCTACGGCACCCCTTCCCATCCACCTGATGATCCTCGAGTATGATCCTGGGAGAGTCACAATCGATGAGTTCGCCACGCAAAATCACCGGGATGAATCTTGAAAGAGTTTCACAGATCGACGAGTTCATAGTTTTTCAGAAAGTCACCTTCTAGAATTTCTGTCCTTCCAGCCCCACCAACAATAACTCAACAAAACACCATTAATATGTTGTGAGACTCGAAAATTTCTCCAAAATTCCTCTAATCATGGATTAACCGATTATTGAAATCAATAACAGTGTATCGTAATTTTGAAGTTACGCTGTCACAATAACTTGCTATAATCAAGACCGCAACACCGATCAAAGCAATGACAATCACAGAGAGTCTTAAAAGTTACATACTGAGTACCCAGAATTTATTAAATACTGTTAGGTCCGAAGTACCATGATGTGCAGAGGCATTACGAGTATATACATATATATACGAGTTGAAGACCCTCCACTTACATACGCTATGGCTATTGTGAGATTGTGGATAATTCACCCAATTTTAATGTTTGATGATATATTTCAGTGTTGTCAGAAAAAACAACAAAAGCGCACCCAACTTTGTTTTCAATTTTTGAACCATCGGTATAGATTATAATATCTTGAATTCTTTAATAATAATTCTTTGCTAACACACAGAATTATTATTATTAACAAGTGTTGCCAGTAAATCATATCAGGTCATAAGTGGGGTCTATAATTCATTCCTCAAAAGAACCGCCCATTAACTTTCTCTGTGGACTCATTAACACTTTCCACAAATTCATACTAAATCTAAAAAGTTTCTGTAGTTTGATGTTTTAAGTATACAAACATCATGTTTTCGGCATTCTGTTGATATTTTAATAAAACAGATTCTTATTTTTCTGAACAATAACTTATATTAGTGTTACATTATAGAAAAAAATTAGATTACACGTATTAATTTCAAAATACCTTTCTCTCTTTCTCTAGCAAATTTTTTAAATTAAACGAACTAAACTTTTTCAGCTATCTTAAATGGACTTCTCCAGGTTAAGCATCTGCTTAACCTATATTATAGTAAATATGCTATAATGTTATAAAAGTAATTATTTTGATATTTTTCTAGCACTAAAAAATACAAGAGAGGAAATATGTTAAAAGAAGATAGCAATACATGTTACTACTTTTAATGATATTAGTTCATATGCATTTTAAGTATAATGTTATATATATATACATATATATATATATTTAATACATGATACATGAATTTAATACATGATACATGAATATATTTAATACATGAATTTAATACATGATATATATATATATATATATATATATCTCATGTATTAAATTCATAATTGTAATTTATATTAGACATTTTATTATATTTGTTGCCATTCTGAAGCAAGTTCTTTGTGATTTGTTTTAAATTTTGGCTGAAGAGGGACACAGAATTCCAAAAGGCATATGAAGTTAATGAAATTTAAAATAAACCTGTATACATAATTTTTTATTTATTAAGAGCTAAAAGCCAGTAAGCATTGTAATCATACTCTGAATTTGTTTTTAATTCATGAAAATACATTATCTGTATATATATATATATATATATTAAAAGCAAAATGATGTCCCCACCAAAACTGAAACCAACACTTTACAAAGGAGATGTATGAAAGTAGGTCATATCAGGTCATAGGTGAGGTCTATAATTCACTCCTCAAAAAGACCAATGTTAACTTCCTCTGTGGACTCAGTATGAATTTGTGGAAAGGGTTAATAAATCTAAGAAGTTTCTGTAGTTTGATGTTTTAATAAAATATTTTTCTGAAAGTATCAAAATGTAAAGTATTTTTGAAATTTGAACTAAAATCTTTCTTAAATTTTAATGTTTCAATAATTAGTAACCAATTGAACATTTTTATTTATTTTCTTTTCCAATAATCAAAGAATTAGATATTGTCCAGTTATCATAAGCTATCACTGGAATTTATATATATCAAAATACATTGCAATGATATACAATAGTGGATGTCAAAGTAAAATGCATGGACCACTGGTAATCTGTGAGCATGCTTAGTGTTTGTCCTCAAATCTACTCATTTTCCCAAAATGCATATCTATGTTATTTAGCTAGAGGAAAGACCATTTTCATACATCACATACCTATTACATTTGGTTACATGCTAGATAATACATGGTGCACATCTAAAATGATATTTACATGATAAAAGAGTGAACAAAACTAATAGTCTGCAACTTATTTGACTTAGTTTAAGTGGTCCTTGGATCAAATAACTAAGTGTTTTTACAAACATAATCCAAAATTATTCCATTTTTAATATTCAATCAAATCGGAGTCACAAACAATTACTTTCATTCATAACATTCCAAATACTTTTGGAGTGATTAAGTCTATTTCTGAGGGATGATATTACAAAAAAAATGCTTTTAGAACACAAATTCATGATTTCAAAGATGGTAAACTTTGAATTTTTGTTCTAAGAATTTTTTTAATAGATGAACTTAGTTAAGAAGTAATGGGGAAATTGTTATGAATGAATGGTATGCTTTTGACTGTAATAAAATAATTTTTTTTCTACATTTAAATCATATTTTCATATTTACTAACTACTGATATCCAATAACATAAGCATAACATTTAAAAATACCTGAATGGATTAGGATATCTGGACCAAAAAGCTTGTGCTACTTGATCCCATGTGTATTTGAAAATGTCTGATCGCTCATAAAATTTACCCATCTGCTGGAAAAAAAAAAATTACTTTAACAAAAATAGTTTAAACACAACTACTTTGTAAAAAATTATGTAACTTTATTCAGTAAGTTACTTTAAATAAGTAAACGAACAGATTTTTGCATTCATAAATTACTGTATAAATAATTCCATCAATTACTTATGCTTCATAATACATAACAAAAGATTATCATCAAACAAATATATATTAATCAAGCTTGTTTTTGATCTAGTTTCTTTCCATTATAAAAAATGTCATTGATGATCAAATACAGGAAATCCTTGTTAGTTTGAAATTCAAGGGACAAAATATTTGTGACTTCAAATTATCCAATATTTACATATTTCTGTAAAATATGCCAAATGCCATATAACTAATGTAATTTATTAAGCAAACAGAATATAGCTACATATAAAGAATGCTATTTCCATTAACTAATAATAATAATGTAAATAAACTGCAGGTAAACAGCTCTGTGAGGTTCTCACAGTGTCCAGTGAGAACCTCACAGGTTATCAGATAGGTTTTATAAAATGTAAAGCAGAATTCTTCTAATGAAGTCCAATTTTTTTTTTTAATTAAAGTGGCCCAAAAAATATTAAATCTGAAATGTAGCAGGCTAGAACCCTAGAAATCTCTCAATCTGCTACTTATAGCCCAATCCTGCAATCCCAAAATCCAGCCACATTTTATGAGATAAGAGGAAAAAAGTAACATTCACAACAAGTTAACATTCACATATTACAATTCAGACAGAATTTTCACTTCAAATGTATTTCAAACTAACTGAATTCCTTAATGTATAAGTCTCTATATCCCCAGCCAGGACAAAAGTACAGTTATGAACTAACAGGATTTTGAATTATCCAAGTTCGAATTAATGAGGATTTCCCATATATATCTTTTATAAAATAGAACATTTATAGAATAAAAACAATTTTAAAAAACAAAGAATGTAATTTTAATGACATTCTATATAGAAATACAGTGAACTCACTAATCTTAACTTCCTAACAAACCAATTTTCTTTGTTTTTTGCTAAATGTTCCAACCAAAAGAAAAAAAAAATCACAATTTCTTCTTTAACCTTTTTGAAATCAGCTTTTATTCTTGATTGATAGTCTGATGGCAGGTTAATTATGTCAAGGTCATCAAAATATTTACATAGTTTCAAATGTTTATTAAAATATATAAATAAAATTTACTGAAACTACAAAATTGTCATCATGTTCCATCATTAAAAACATCAGTGGCTTCCAGAAACAATATTCAGTTATGGAGACCTTTTATTTGAGGTTACACCTCTGTAATAAAATGCAAAATGGATAAAAATGTTCCCTGGTGATTATGCCAATATTATAATTCACAATAAAGTTCATTAAAATGTTTCAAATGTTTATATTCATGAAAAATTATTGTTTCATTTTGTTTTCTCTTTTAGAATAGAGTTATTTTTCTATAACTATATTTTCAATATTTTTCAATTTTGCTTACAAACTTTTGTACACTACTCAAAAGTGAAATCGCAACATCACGAAAGAATGCGCTCACCCATATGCACATTTCAGGACCAGTAGAGGTGGGAAACATACAAATGATTAAAAGAACAAAGATGTGCAATAGATACCTATTTATTCAGTAACAAATATGGCCCTCAAGGGCAGCTATACAGGCTGCTATATGGCAGGCATACTATCAATGAGGCAATTAATGGTTGTCTGAGATATACCTTGCCAAGCTGTATCCATATATTGTCTACAATACGTAGTGGTGGTTCTTGGTGCACCTCACATCAAATGAGGTCACAAAGGTGTTCAATGGAAGAGAGATCCAGTGATGCTGCCAGCCAGAGAAGGATGTGAATTCTATTCAGGCTGGTAAGAGTTCTCCATGTGATGTGTAGTCAGGCATTGTCTTGCTGGAATATTATGTCAAGTGCAGCCTGCACAAGTGACCAAACCCCAAGTGACAAGTCTCCACAATTCATGTGACCTATTGGTCCACTGTCAGAGTACTGAAAATGTGCACCAGTGTTGTCCACTACTCAAACATAATGCCTCCCCAAACCATGATGCCTGGCATGGAGTCTGTATGACACTTGCTGAAGAGCTGGCAAGTAGCATTCCCCAGGATACTGCCACACTCATCCACAGCTATCACTCTTCCATACAGAAAGATTCATCCCTAAGCAAAATGTAATAAAATTCAGTGATCCTTCTGCAATGATGACAACACCATGCAAGGCATGCAGCCATGTTAAGTGGTTAATGACATCCCCATTTCTGGTTGCCATGTTGCCATGAGTGCAGCCAAACTTTATGCAACCTATTGCAAATGGTTTGAGTTGACACAGATAGACCAATTGACAGCGACAGGCTGCTTCAGATGTCTGTGCACCTACTGTGGCAAATACATCTCAACAGACCATTCAGCAAATCTGCTAGTCTCTGTGTGCTCTGTCATGCACTGGTACAATCCATTCCCTCTTTGGCATGTTCACAGATTCCCTACATACATTGTTTTACACATCACTAGATAGTACTCACATTATGCCCAACATGCATGATGACTGTGAATCAACAAACTGGTCATACAGTTCCAGTATACAGTCTTGTTCCCCAGCCAATAACTGGTGGTATTCAGCTCACTGTCATCTTCAAGGCATTTTCTACAGTTCTTTGAAATTTCAGCTGTCATGAACTAACAATGTTAGCATTTATGACCCAACCCAACCAAAACTGAGTACCACATAACCCAATGTGTATGCAAACTTGATCATTTCCATCTCTATCTGTCCTGCAATTTGCAGGTGGCTACACTCGTTCTGTCAAGGTGTTGCAATTTCACTTTTGAGGAGTGTATAAAGCCTTTATACAGAGAAATTGTTACTAATAAAAGGTACAAATAAAGCATACAGATGTAACCCATCTATTTATTTTTGTTATTAAGAAATGGCAAAGATGCCATTAACACCTACAGCACACTAAAGCATATAGTATATCTGTGAGAGACAAGATTTCAGAGAGATCTGACATACATTGGTTCTATCAAGCAGTCACTTAAAAAACAGCTGGTGGAACATAAATATGATATACAAAGCAAAAAGCAGACCACTGCCCTAGCAATATATGCTTCTGATACTAGTGTGGAAGCTAAACTACAAAGTTTTTATGTTAATTTTAAGTTTTAATGTTAACACAGATGTGATTTTTATACTTGTTCTAATACTTAATTGTTTCAACAATTTAAAAAATTTAAACAGATCTTTTAGCATTCTAATTCTATCAAACATTTTGACTTGAAGCAGATCCTATTCAGAGTGAAAATGATTGTCATTATTATATTAAATTATATTTGCCTATATATTTTTGAAGGGTTTGTTAGTGTTACTCACTACCCTCAAAACTAAGCTTTTTGCCATTTTATAATGTTTCATAACAGATGGCACCACACACAATTTTATTTATGATTAATATTAATGTAAAAGTTTTTTAAATAAGCATCTCATAACAGCCAGGAAAGTGACACAATATACTAGTTGATTTTTTATTTCTACTAAAACCTGAGTTGTAATCATGGGATAGCTTTTCTGTAAGATACTATATAATCAAATGAAAGATGTAGTAATTAATAACTTGCTACTAACTTCATTTTCCAAAAATTTTACATCTGCACTTACAAAAATTACCTCATTCTCTGATAAAATATTCTGTAACCTTTTTTTGTATAAAAACAGCATTCAACAAACAACTAATAAAATGAAAGCTTTACTATGGCTTACACCACTAACTTACCATCTGTTAAGAGAATAACTCAGAATTTGAGTGTTAGTTTGTTCACAGTTTAATAAAATAAAATTACTGAAAATTTAAATGTTTTTGACATTTACAATAATGCATCTTCAGGAAACTGATTTTAAAACAAGGAATATAATCTTACAAACTTCTTGTGTGTCGAATAAAATTTAAATCAAACCAACAAACTATAACAAATTTTTCAACATGTAATGAAATTAAATTAAATGAATGAATAAAATTAATTAATTAAAAGTAGAAAATAATGTAATTTTGTTAGAACAAAGCAAATCATATAGAATTAGCCAATACTCTGACAGATATATTGTTAGATGGTTTATAGCCCTAAATGTCTAATAGTCTCCCATATGAAAATCTGTCTGAAGTCTAAGGCCAGGAACACACATGCGTAAAATCTAGCATAAAACAGAAAACGTAAAACTTCTTTGAAATTTTGGCCGAAACAGAACTGAAAAAAGAGTAGAGCATGTCTCTACTTTTTACACTGTAAAATTTTTACATCAAAATTCCTCCAATAAAGAGAAGTCTTTTCTGTGACATCAAAGTAGACACGTGGTTTTTATTCTAACAATGGTGGCAATGAGGTTCCTGACCCTAAGTGTAATGGTCTCAAAAAAAACTAAAAATAAATGAAATAGAGGAGTTTATCAAATCCATTCGACCATATCAGTGTCGTGTATAAAGACACTGTATTTTAACAATGTTTATGGATAGCTATAGGTGCAAAATTTCAAATAACAAGTAGGTGGAATCGATATATAGATCTAGTATTTAGATTACACATTCTTTACTTGAATTTGGAATACAAGTCTATTAATTTAAATTTTCTATATTATAGCAGAGGAAGCAGAAAAAAAATGGAAGGTACAGTACAAAGGGATAGATATATGAGAGGAAAAAATTAATAAAATTAGCACTGTTAGTGACAGTGGTATTTCCTATTCCGTCAGAATTTTTACATATGTGTGTTCTGGCATAAAAGTGTAAAGCACAAACTGAACTGAAAGCTGATTTCCGATTCATTTTTCTGCCACACAATTTTATACATGTGTGTTTCTGGCCTAACATTCTTAAGCAAAGATTCATCATTCTAAAGTGGAGTAAACCCATCTTTTAAGACAAATTCTGTAAATTCATGAGGCCTTTGCCAATAGATGATTGGTTTTGCGTATACATTTTCTTACTGACCTTAAAGTTAGGCCAATGTAGTGATGGATACAGTTATGACTAGGATAGGAGATGATCATGAATGTTCATTACTGACTCTGCATCTTCAATGGAGGGCAGCCTCTTCTGTTCAATAATACAGATTATATATGATTTTGTTTTTAAAAGATTATTATTATGTAATGGAAAATTAAAAATTAATTCATGCCATTGAGATTTGTCACTTTTTTGGCAGTCCCACAATGGAATGTATAGTAAACATAACATAGTATTTTCAGCAAACCTGGAAGTATTTATGAAGACCAACAAAATTTCTTACTTCTTACAGATGTAGAGGTATTAATGTTTCTTCATTACAATTTATTACTCTTGAATTTTGATTATTGATAAATAACATTTGCTCAAAATCATTTATTTTTCCTTCCTTTTCTCTCTCTCCCCTCAAACTAAAATGATATTATTCATCAAAACAGTTTGACTTTGAGGAAGTATTAGGTCCAAATATCAAATATGTGTGCATAGTATTCAATCAAATAATGAATACTGATTTTGTGCCAAAATAAACCAAATAATGCTGAATATTCAATCCAACAGTAATACCATTAGAAATTAGGGTACAGGTAACAGTGAAGATTTTCCTAAACTCACCATTACTTCACTATTTTTCAAAAAATTGTTCCTAAACCACACAAGTGATGTCACCAGCTTCTGTGATGCCTTACCATTCCAACCATATTGGCAAGATGTTTGTATGGTAACTATGACATATCAAGGATGAGAAAACATTAATGATAAATTAAAATGAGGAAAGCAAGTGTTCCAAAACTATATACATTATGGATGTTGTCACAAATGATCCACCAGATTACCAAGCTAATCAGTTTAGAAAAATCCTCAATGCCTTGGCAAAGAACTATTAGACCACCTACATTTCAGCCTAGTTAGCCTTATTAATAATACATCTCTACTCTTTAGAGATTTCTAACTGCAGATTCCCACTATCAAAATAAATTAATTTCATTCCTCCTTACTCAGCAATGTGGTTTCTTTACCTGTAAAAGAATGAACAAAAATCAACTTCATTCCTGAGATTCTAGACTTATGAAAGGGACATCCTGTGTGTATTATGGTGACTTAGAACTATACTTGGACTTTCTAAAGATATAACATGAGGTAGAATTTTACCTATGTACCATCATGGTGGCAGTTGTGACTGTTCGTGCTCCTGACAGACTCATGTTCCGAAGGAAAGACACCAGCTGGCCGGCAATTGTTTAACATCACTAGTTATTGATTCACGGTAGTTCTCTAAAACACGTATCATTAACTAGTGACGTTAAACAATCAGCGGTATGCCTCCAGGAGGTGCCAACATCTACAACCTTTTTAAAGATTACCTGCATGACTGCAAAGCTGTTCTACAGTATGAGACCCATCTTGTCGAACAAGAAGTAGAGTGTGGCTGCCCACAGGGGTCGGTCTGTGGGCCGCTCATGTGGAACTTAACCTTTAACGCTTTCCTACAAGAAGACTTTGGTCAGGATGCCACAACTGCCTACGCTGACGATGTCCTTATCTTGATTGGAGGAAGATCCCATGCAGCCTTGGAACAGCGTAGCGAGATCCTTGACAGGATTTACCACTGGGGTACTCGCCACAAACTTGTATTCAATCTCAACAAAACTGCCAGTATCGTCTTTAATAAACCAGGTAAACCTAACCTGTACTGTACCTCTGCACCCCAACTGTGAGAATGAATAACCAATCTATTAACCCTTGAAATTTTTATCTGTTGCCTGTGATGCCATGTTGAATTTATGTCAATGTTAAGCCTAAAAAAATTGTTTTTAAAATAATAATTGTGTTTACTGTGTCATTAAAAATTATTTTTTTATGTTGCACAAACAAAATAAATATATTGAAAAATATAGTAATAAAAAAATATTATATTTCAAAACTTCATTTTAATATAAAAATTGTGATGCATAGCGACATCTAGTATCAAAAACATTCCGATGTAGACATGAAAATATTCAGGATCATCCACGTAAATCAATGAGGTCAACACGAATATTTTCAGGAACAATGCAGGACAGGTTAAAAACATAATAAGTTTTTTTTTTAGAAAAATATAATAACAGATGGCACCACCAAATGTTGCTGGAAAAGTTGAGCAATTCATTGTTGGATTTTTTAACATTGCTAAAAAAGTTAAATTATATAAAACTCAACATATTAANAAAATATAGTAACAAAAAAAAATTATATTTCAAAAGTTTGTTTTAATATAAAAATTGTGATGCATAGCGACATCTAGTATCAAAAACATTCCGATGTAAACACGAAAATATTTGGGATCGCCCACGCAGATCAATGAGGTCAACACGAATATTTTTGGGAACAACGCAGGACAGGTTAAGGTCGAAAAATGTATGAAATACCTTGGCGTCTGGCTGGACTTTCGTCTCAGTTGGGACATTCATATCAAATACATCACCAAACACACCAGTTTAATTTTTCACGCCTTCTCACAGATTGTGCGGAAAGGCTGGGGCATCAATTCCGAGGCTCTCAGTGTCATATACGACCATATCTAGATCCCCATCATCCCCTACAGCTGTCTTTGCTGGGGAGATGCCGCTCAGAAGGTACATCTACATAGAAAGTTGATACCCTCCCAACGAAAAGCACTCCTTTTAATAACAAGAGCATATCGTACTGCTCCAAACAGCAGTTTGCAGATGATCTCTCGCAAACCCTCCATCACTGAAATCATGAGGATGGAACGAAATATCTGGAACCTCAAGAATGGGAATGACATCTCCACTCCAACTTGCAACATCCAGGCCTGTAATTATGAACATCTGAGTCCTTACACCTAGGCCATACCTCCCCATATCAATAACTTTATTGGTAACAGCCCGCCCCTCAATCCTGACCTTGTCATCTATACGGATGGTTCTGGCCACAACAACTCAATAGGCTGTGCTTTTATTGCCCACTGCAACAACACGGAAATCTACTCACAACAGAACAGACTTCATAACACCTATACTGCCTTCCAATCTGAAATGCTAGCCATAAATATGGCCATTAACTAGACTGAGCAAAGGTACACCAAAAACAGCATTCACATCATTACTGACTCCCCCATGCCATCAAACTAACTCCATCCAATAGCCACATCCATCCGGCACTTAATCCTTCATTCCAGCAACTCATACCATATTACTTGGACCCATGGGCACCAGGACACTGAGGGAAATGAGCGGGCTGATCAGCTGGCAAAGGCTGCGGCTGTTGACGACTCCCTTACCATCATCTACAACAAAATCAGTTACAACAGAGTGAGAAAAATTATGTACAAGGATGTCTTAAATCGCTGGCAATCATCCTGGTCTCAACAGCACAACGAAACCACCTACAAGTACATCCCTAACATCATCGACTACCACGACAAATACAAATGGGTGACTCCTGACTATCACCTCACACAGTTCCTTACATACCATGGAAAGTTCTCAAACTACCTGCACAGATTTACCAATAAAAGTACCCCTCTTTGTGCCATTTGCAGCCAGACAGGCAACTCTGACCGCCATCTATTTAGCTGTATCTCCCTTCAGACCAAAAGACATGCCATCAAAGTGACCTAAAAATAAAAAACCATTTAAATATCCAGCAAAATTCTTTAATAACATAAAAATGTTTTCAAACGCTCAATGCGTTTGAAAACATTATGTTATTAAAGAATGTCGCAGTTTGTTACCTAAGTTGAAGTTTTTGTGCCTCAACAAGGCCATTAGAATTGCAAGACGATGTTTTTATGGAATACTGCGTGGTATCATAAAATTAGAAAATGATCTATATGAAGAAGACCAAGCTATTCTGGAAGAGGTTAACAGTAGACTAATCGCTTTAGAACATTCTTTGGAAAAGAGATTGAAACGGACATACATTAAAAAGCCAAAATGGCTGTTTAGATGCCAGAATATTAAACCACGAGTGAAAAAAGAAGCATTTTTAACAACTTGGGATAACATCGTTCCTCCCCAATGCTTGATAAACGCCTTGGAATACGGCCCTTCCTTTGCACTGACACCACCGTTGCGTCCAGAAAGCCTCATACCGAACTTTGAGATACTCATAAAGAATATGAGCTTGACTGAGCAGGATTACTGCAGATGGAAAACAAGATTATATGCCGAAAAGGAGAGGTATTCTAACAAAACAGCTTTACTATTCCAAAGGCACATTAAACAAACGAAAGAATGGCTCCAAAAAAACGACATTGTTCTCATAAAGGCGGATAAATCAAAAGGTGTTGTACTCATAAAACGGAGCTCATATAGAGAAAAGCTGCATGAGTACATCGATAGCACCAAATTTCTTCCTGCCCCAAGTAACTACCTGGAAACCTTACAACAAAGAGTGAGAAAATTTACCTTAACTCCGTTAGCCGATTATCTGGATATGAGAGCTGCTACTTTACAAGCTCCCAGGACACCAAGAATTTTTGCCTTCAGAAAAATCCATAAACCTGGTTCCCAGTTACGCCCTGTGGTAGAAAAATGTAATGCTCCAACCTTCAGAATAGAAAAACAACTTGTTAAATTCATACAAAGAAAGATGCAGATTTCACCTTTTTCGATAAAAATCTCGGTGGACTTGATCCTGAAATTAGAAAATGTTGCGCTCATGAATGAGGAATGGATGACAGTTTTGGACTATAAGGCGTTATACCCATCAATCAAACTGCCTCCATGCTTTTGTGCCCTAAGAGATTTTTTATTCACTAATGTTAATAATGCTATCAAATACCACACACAGATTTTAGAATTAGCGGATTTGATCTGTCACACTTCCTTTTTTGAATTCAAAAATAAAACATATCTACAGGGGCGGGGAGTACCGATGGGTAGCCCCATGTCGTTGGTCCTCTGCGAGTTGGTACTCCTTAATCTAGAGAACAATATCCTCCCTTCATTACAACAAGATATATTGGTATATGCAAGATATGTTGATGATGTCTTTATCTTGTGAAAGGATAATCGCAATATCAAGCATTTTATGGATCTGATAAACAGTAACCCGTATGGTTTAACTTTGGAATTGGAGCAACAAGACAGTAGTAGCGTTAATTTCTTGGATCTGACTATAACGTGCGAAAAAGGGGAAGTCCGAACCAACATTTATCATAAACCGACATCNATCGCAATATCAAGCATTTTATGGATCTGATAAACAGTAACCCGTATGGTTTAACTTTGGAATTGGAGCAACAAGACAGTAGTAGCGTTAATTTCTTGGATCTGACTATAACGTGCGAAAAAGGGGAAGTCCGAACCAACATTTATCATAAACCGACATCTATCCCCATCGTTATCCCTAAGAATTCGGCGGATCCGGAGCATATTAAAATGGCAGTATTTCGATCGCACAACCATTGAACAAACGTTTGCGATACAGTTAAGGAATTACAATATATACAAAGAACTGCCATACAGCATGGCTACGAGAGGAAAAGAATAGAGGCTCTCATTAAGAAGGTTAATAATCTGGCAAGTAGGCAAAAGCAAAACCACCAAAAAGAAAAAGTGGTCCTCGATTATATACCCCTCCTTAAATCGAATGTCAAGAGGGTTTCCAAAAATAAGAACTTACAAATAGTTTATCGAAGTAATCCCACTATATACAGGATATTAAGGAATGATAAGGGGCATTATGAACGTAACTCCTTAACAGGAATATACCCAATACCGCTAAGAGACCATACGTTCAACTCTAACTTAGTATATATAGGCGCAACTTTGAGGAATTTGAAAAAAAGAATCAATGAAACATAAGCTTTCAGTGAGCAAAACTGTTGACAGTACAGTCCTTGCCACTTATGCTAAACAACAAGGCATTACTGTTTTCTGGGACCAGGCCTCTATAATAAAAGCTACTAGATCTAGACACGCGGTAAAATATCTCGAAAAGATGGAAATCCACAAGGTGCAGAAGAGCACGCAGTTTATCAACTATAGGGATGCAGACAAGCTTTCGTCTGCGTGGAAATCTTTTTGCGACGAATTGGCATAGATCTATAAAAAAAAGGCTTAATCGGACTTAGGATGATCTTGGATAGATTTTTTATTTTTTTATTTTTATTTATTTTTATTATTATTTATTAAATACACGGAAATTTGTATATCATTTTCGTTTATAACATGTTACCTTTTAATTTTTTACATAATCGTTTATTTGAAATTCGATTGCGCAATTTTTCAAATTTCCCGTTTCGAATTACAGAAATAACTGATGATGAACGCTCAATGCGTTTGAAAACGTTTTTATGTTATTAAAGAATTTTGCTGGATAGTTAAATGATTTTTTATTTTTAAGTTGACTTCTCCAGTAAGCAAGTATACAATTATTTATCAAAGTGACCGCCCAAAGTATGAACATCCATTGGCCCTGCCAACACAGTGACCTTCTAAAAAATAAAAAACTCTTCAAGCTTTTCCATCAACTTGTAAAGAAATATGAGGCAAGTGCCCCTTTTGCCACTAGCAACTAAACCATCTGTATATACTGTACAGGTATATCTCAACTTACGTCGTTTCGAGTTATGTCGTTCCCGATTATACGTCGTTTGTCAAGAAAGTTTGTGGAAAAATAAAAATCAAGTTTAAGTCATTTTATTCGACTTTACGTCTGTCCGCCACAAATATTGAAGTCGTAATATCACTAGAAAAATGTTTAAAGCACATAAAATCATATTATAATATATACATTTACAAGTATATACTGTATTTACAGTACGTGCATTCGTAAATTTAAATTACTTTTTTATGTACTATATTAAAAACTAAAATTTATTTCTTTGTAAGCTTAAAATAGATCCTTATTAACCATATATTATTAAAAATGCATTAATAAATAAAATACAGAAATTGGTAATTTATGGTTTAGCCTAGTGGCAAGTAGATTCGGAGACAAGTAAATTCGACTTAAGTCGTTCTCCTGGAAGCAATTACCGACGTAAGGCGAGGTATACCTGTATTGTATTGTAATATATTTAAATGCAAGTTCTCCTGTATATATATATATATTTTACTATTTTTCTTATTGTACATATATTTTACTTATGCTTTTTATGTATTTTGAAATGCTATTGTATTGTAATATACTTTACTGTTTCCATCTACACCCCACTTTTCATTGTACTCCCCCACACCTTACTAGATGTTACAATACTGTAATTTAATACCTTATACTTACTTTTCTGTATCTTTTTGCTATTTGTATATACAGTTTCCACTCGGCTATGCTTAGCGGTACCGAGTACATATTGTACCAACACGTTAAATAAATAAATGAATGAATGAATGCCTCCAGGAGGAGGGAGCACAAACAATCGCAAATGCCGCCATTGTGGTGCACATAGGTAAAATTTTGCCTGATATGATATTCCAATTTTTGTAAAACACCAAATACATAACAAAAAAATCCTAAGTCCTTCCAGTAACATTTTAACAAATTATGAATGTTATAGAACTTGTATTTTTAAACTTGATACAGACCTCATGAGGAGATTAAAACATTTATATGTTGTTAAAACATTGTTACTACAGGACTTAGAGATTTTATGTTACAGAAATTTGCAGAGAAATTTTTCTCCATTTTTTGTGAAAACAGTTTCTAATATTTACCATGTTTTTTTTCTTCTATATATTTGTATTTTTCCTGAACTGCTAATAAAGAAATATTGATTATCAAAACAGAATATTCCAATAAATTCTATAACAATACTCCATACTGTTTAAGAACAAAAGTCAACTTAAGTACTGATAAAAATCTTTTCAAAATAACTGCTGATTCATTCTTCAAATGAATTATATTTAGACAAGTTTAATTTTGAGAATTTATTCTAAGAATTTAAACAAAAAAAAAAAAAAAATGCTGAAATAAAAATGTGATATTAAATATTAAAATAGTAACACTTTTTTTCTTTAATTAAATGTTCTTCACTTTAAAAACATATTCCATTACTTGTAAACAGAGAACATTATAAAATATCTGCAAACAAATATGTATCAATACAATTAATACCAATATTTCAATTATTGATTTTATTTATAATATTAATATTAGAAAAATTACAATAATATAAAAAAATATTACCGACCTTAGAGATCCTTCTGAATGTAAAAGTAATAATAATAAAAGATGAAATGTATTAAATAGCGTTTAAACAGTAAATATTCTATATATTTGGACACTGCAGTTTGGGGTCTGCCATGCTACAAAACAAGGTGCTAACAAAAAAACAAACTAATAGTTCGAGGATCGTGGTTGAGTTTATCGCCAAAATATCGCCAAAATTATTTACTAAATTTTTTTTAATATATTAAAGTTGGAATATTTTCTAATCTAAAATAAATCGCAAAAATATGGTACTGTGTTTTTCAATAAAACTAATAAATATCTTGGTAAAAATAAGAAAAATAACGAAATACAGTATATTTGAGACGGCATTTGGCATATTATTCCGATAATTATGATTGTTATATTTATTGAATGTTACGTTTTTTAATATTAAATATTTAAAAAGTCATCCAGTTTTGCGCTATTATTGGATGAAATACTTAAATAAACAAGTGATTAGAAACTTTAAACGCTAGAGAAAAAAAAATTAATTATGGCGATACTCTTTTCTTTACTTGAATCTTTCCGCCCTCTGAGCATACAGAAGGGTTTTTCTGAGGCCCACTATGTCAGGCCCGCAATGGGATGAATGGGTCCGACATAACTGGAACAGCTCACGTCACAGAAAAAAGTCGTGGGGTTATACCAAGGTCCTAGGACCTTGGGCTAGACCGGCAATTTTAAATCAAGACCGGCAGTAGGCAAAACAAAATTATATTGTAATTGAAAAAAATATTATATAAAATTATTTTTAATATTCATTAAGATTATTTATAGTGATAAAACGACTTTCTCGTTATAATTGTTGTTTTATGTGGTTTACTTTGTTTACACGCCCTTCGTGATGCACTTAATTAAGACCCCCCGCGAGACAGGAATACAGACACCTATTCTGAATACTTTATTTGGGGTCCTTCCTGAACCGGGCGATCTCCGCTCGTTTGTTTGTTTAGTTATGGCAACGAAACACTTGGGCGATCTGCCTAGGCCCTAGGGGATACCTTCCGGAAGGTCTTTTTAATTAAGGAAAACTGGCCCCTATTTAGGCGTTAGAGAAAACCCGGAAACCACTACGTGGCCAGCCCGTCCGAGTGAGGCGCGAACCCACGACCGAACTCCCAGTGTTCAGGGTACGAAGACCGCTTGGCCTTCGCTCTTGTACATTAGTCTGGGCCGTCTGTCTTGCACGTGTCTCTCTTTCTCTCTCTGAGGTTGCCAGATCTTCCCGTAACAATTGAGATTATGCTTTTGTTATGATTCACATGTAGTACTGTAGTACTGAGCTAGAATATAGTACACAGAGTGGCTGTGACCCACAGAGCCTATAACAGAAATTAGTCTGTAGCCTATAATGAGAGAGTGAATAAAACTATTAAAATTTAATAAATTTCTTAATTTATATTATTTTTAATATGTAGTAATTACGTGTCTGAGTCGCAAATCTTGATAGCGATCGTTGTTACACTATAAATTTGGAAATCCTTATAAGTTACATATCGTGCATCGTGAGTAACCATTAAGACTACAATATTCACATTTTTCTTATTTGTTTGTACTCTAAATATTACGAAAATGAAATATTTCACATAATAGGCCTATATATCATTGTAATTAGAAAAGTATTGATATTTATTTCAAAATTTATCAGCAATAGCAGTAAGCTAATTCTACGTGTTTCAACTCGATATGTCGGGAGCGGGGTTCATCTTGAGTTAGAAATCGTATTGGCAGTATACTTCTTCTCTTTTGTCTAACATATGGCTTAACACGTCTAAAATTAAGTTTCTAATTCGTTTTAAATTGAAAAATAAATTATTCTCAAGAGGGACGTTTAGTCACTCAATAGATCTCATTATCTTTCGTATATTTCAGAGCGTGACTCACCCCCTAGTTCTTATCATGTATAAGCTTTTATCTGTAAAATTCGGACACCTTAATTTAACAAAAGTTCAATTTTATTAATAGATTGGTAAACAAAAGTAGGGGTTACTACACTTGAGGTCTATTCTTTTTTCGGTTCAAAGGATCGTCATAACATCGAAATTTTTATTCATCTTTATATGGACACGAAACACGAGAATATTACATATTTGAATATATATTACTGTTAACACGTATGTATATGCAAGGAAAGATTCTCGAAAATCCGTCTCTTCAGCGACAAGTAGGATCAAAAATCACGAAATTCGGTGAAAAACCCAAACGTTTTACATTAAATTTCGTGGCGATGCAATAATAAAACTCTGACAATTTGTCGCGAGCGGATGTTTATTATTGTTTCTAGCGGTTGAATTTTCTGTTCGTGCGAATAAGTGATTTATTTCAAGCGTTTTTCTTAAGTTTGCATCATTTGCAGAGATTTTATTGATAAGTTCAGACCACGAACCTTCTAAATTTAGATATTTTTGAACATTGTTAAGCCGAATATCACAATTAGTGTCAATGATTTTCCGATAAGATAACAATTGATCGATTTCGTCACAGAGTGGACGAAAGGAGTCTTTCACTTATTTTTAGTGATGTAACGAATATTCGGTTACTATTCGGTATTCGGCCCATTTTTCACTATTCGGCCGAATAACGAATATTTAATCACTATTCGGCCGAATACCGAATACTTAAAAACAGGATAAATAAATAACAAAAACACAGTAAATTAATCATTTTGGTATTTAGATTTAATCTTATCGAGTTAGTGTTGTTTGTTTATATTTATTTATAACTTGTAACATGCACAAAATAAAAAAAGAAAATAATATTAGTCACATGTATTCACAATTTATAATTACAAATATCAGCACACGTACACGTCTATGGTTGGAGAATCGTCGCACATCTGAGGATCTGACCCTGCCTATCCTTCTTTTTAAGCGCTCGTCTTTGCTCTTCCCTTTCTCTTTCCTCTATCGCTCTAATCCATGTATACCTGTGCATACATCATAATACGCGCTCACAATACTTTCGATTCGTCACTTTTCCATCCTAGAGTTCCCATTTTACAATTACATGACTTCAGCCTGGTGATAACGGAAAAAAGAGACAGATAGGACGTCGATATAAGTCACAGTTATGATTTCACAGATTCGAGACAGCTTGATAGCCCGAACGGCCCCAGGCTTTCGCCCGTGCACGCTTAGTGATTTACATTACAAGCATTTAGCTTTCCAAAGACTATGACAACAATTGTTTGGCATTGACGGCCGCGAATTTCGTGCCAATAAGCTGCCTCGACTTGTTCGATTATGTTATCAACTCAATTTCAAATTTATTTTCACATTTTTACTTCGCGGTCCTTCTCTGTTCTTTTTCCGTTATTTACACGTGTAGGTCATTTCATTGTTATCCACATTTGATAATCATTTATCACATACTTCCATGACACTCTTGTCTGTCCGCTACAACTGCCAAGAATTAACGCGATTGGCGAAGCGTAGTGACAGCGGGCCAACAGAGAGCAGGATCCTTGCCATAATGCGGTTTGCGCGCCAATTTTCGTACGTGCGTTAATCAAGCCGAATAGTTTGGCCGAATATTCGGCTATTCGGCCACGCTCCTGGCCGAATATTCGATATTCGGCCTGAGGCCGAATATCGAATATTCGGCCTGAGGCCGAATAGTATATTCGTTACAACACTACTTATTTTGAAAGCTACTTTTTACCCTTTTTATTGTTAATTTTCGTTTAGCCCAAATCCAATTGAATTGTTAAAATCAAAATGGGAATTAATAAATACATTAAATTGTTATTCTCGCTATGGTTTATACACACATTATATCCCATATGAAATTCGAACCGCTATAAACTTTAATTAATTATAATATAATTTCTCTATTTTCACAAATATTTTGCGTTATGGCAATCGACAGAATTGTATAATTTGTATACACCGATTTTTAAAATAATATATCGAACATTAAAAATCGTTGGAAAGATTAAAATTACTATATTTAATAATTAAACATTCTACTATAATATTCATTTCTGACTTTGTAATATTTATTATAATTAAAATGATCATTTTCTACAATCTTCTATCATAAATCTATATTGTATTTGAACATAAAAAAAAATTCATATATTTCTTACTTACAATTTAGATGAAATTAAGACAATAAGAATATTTTTTAATTAATGCAAGTTCTATTTTGAAGACAGTCGCTTCTTTTTCTTTGCAGGAAGGATAATTTCAAAGAATTGAGGGGGTGGCACACATCAGGCCATGCTGAGCCCGAGGATGGAGCCTCGTCTTCTCCTCGTGTAATACGGGTGCTTCCGAAAGATGCGAAGTCGCATACACCCGACGTCAAACAAGTGGTCGTCATAACTCCGCATCGTCTCTCGTCCATTATCTGGAGCGGCGATATCCAGAAGTTCCGGAATGGACGATGAAGACACGGTCACGTGAGACGGGACTAGACAGAAAGGAGTCAGAAATAGTGGAAGAATCCGTCGAGCGTAAAAGGCCTTGGTGGAAAAGGTTGTTTTGCTGCTGAAAAACATAAACCTCTTCTCTGCCGAAGCCTTCTTCCACGGATTTCGACTTTAAGCGGAACGTGACAGCTACCCGGAAGTGACCTTTCACCCTTCTACCACTTAATTTCGTTTTTTTCCAGTTTTAAATATTTTTTATGTTTAATTACATTAATATCAAAAATTTGAAGGTCGCAAGGGAGTTAATCAACTGGACTTGACTTTCCATCCCAATTCACGGATGGATACTTCGACAACATTCGAGATTCGTTCTTCCACTTCGGTTAAAGTGCATGGAAGTGACAACGAAACATTAAGCAATGTTCTAGTGTTTAATAAAAAGTGCACTACGCTGTTATTTAAACGACTATATCCAAAGCAACTTATAATATTTCGACCGGTGTTCTACTAGTAAAACATTTCGCCACAGAATAATGCACTACGGGAGAAAACCATTTCCACGTTGAACTTTTTTAGGAAAACCACACATGGCAGTGGATATTTGTCCAAAGCAGAATTGTAATTACTTCAACAGTTAAAATTGTATATAAATTTTTATACTTGATAAAACTTATTAAATTTCATATTAACTGTTTAAAGAATCTATATTTATTGAATTTACCAAATCAATCCTTGAGTCATATATTGTATGTGAAATCTTCACTACTTCAAAAGATCATCTTCAAAGTCTGATGATAAACTTTAAATAAAATTGAAGTGAAGATAAACCAATGAAATAAAGATAGCTTCAAATGCTAATTGATGTACAAGATGTAATCAATAAGTTCCAAGAATTATGTTTTTTAAATAAACGAAAGCACTTACCTTCATTTTAGTATGGGTGTCCTTCAAAGTAGTCTCCTTGAGATATAATACTTTTTGCAGTGTTTCTGGAACTGCTAGAAACTGTTCTAGAACTCAAATTTTGAAATGGTCTTTAAAGTCCTCACATTTTCTTATATGACTTCCACGTCTTTGAAATTTTTACACTTCAACAGTTTTCAGCTTCTGGAAAAGGAAAAAGTCAGAGGGAACCAAATCTGGTAAATACAAAGAATATTCAACAATGGAGCATTGTTTGGCCAAAACTGATTCACAGTGTGCTGTGTTGTGTTGAACAAACCTTGATTTGGATTGCTATTTTTGTGGCCTCTTTCAAAAATTTGTGGACCTCTGTGACCATTTTCTCTAATTTAACAAAATTTGATTGCCACATGCTGATCCTGTAGGTCTGACATTTTGAAGTGCAACACTGGCATCATAAATAGTCTCCCTTCTTCTCTGTCACTGCATGCAAGTCACCGAGACTGTATCTGGTACACAAATATCCTAATGGATAGATTATTGCTAGGGTTCAAAATTTACTTGCTAACACTTTTCATTTTGTAAAAACAAAATAATTCAAGAAATTTTTTGATCACACCTTGTATGTCACTGTTCAGTTGTAAAAAGTACATGTATTATACTTGTTAAAGATCTTATTTAGGCCAGATGGTTTTTTTACTCTTTCTGCCTTATGTGCATAAAGAGAGCTTCTTTCAGGCTCATCATATATTTAATCAGGTCCACAATGAGATAGCTGGGTATGAGGGTCAACAGCATATCCTGGATAGATCATTGCAAAAAATTCCTGGTGTTTATCTGAATTCAATTCCAATCCCCACGGTGGTAGACTGACACCTTAACCACCTTGCCATCTGACCAGCATAAAAGTTTCTAGCCAGGAATCAAACTTGGGCCTCCTGGATAAAGGCCACCCTGTATCATCCCTTAAGAAATGATAGAAATGGCATAATGTAAACATTTGTGTATAATTTTAAAAAATTATGCAAAATATATTCATAGAATAAAAGTTTTAATAAGATTTTATGAACATTCTTAAATTACATTAATTCCTTTTACACCAAATAAGAAAACTTGCCTTAAAAATCCTTAAAATTTCAATTTGCACAAAATTTCTTATTATTATATAACCTCATTGTGTGTAGAACAAAATACAATAAACAAACTTCAAACCTCATTGGTTTTTAAAGTAGTTTTACTTATTTGATGCTTCTTCTCTTACATACAATAAAATTATGAAGCAATCTTAATATTTTATTCTTCATAAGAATTTTTTTCTTTTTTAAGTAAAGCAATTAAAATATAAATTCAAAAAATATTAAATATGGCTTATGATAATTATAGCCACTTAATAATTTAGACTAGATTATCATAGATAAGATTTTATCCTAAAGTTTTATTTACAAGAATTTCACAAAATACAGATGTAAGGAAGGCAATTGATTTTTCATAAAATGTGCAATAAGGTGAATTAGATACAGATTCTTTCTGCAATTCTAAAAACAAGATATTTTTAAGATTATTAAAATTATAAACGATGTTTCAAGTTATTAAAATTGTAATTCTTGTGTCATACCAATATTTTCATTTCACCAATCAATCAAAATTTATGGAATTTTTTTTTTCCAAAATTTTTGGAAACAACAGAAAAACATATGCTTAAGAGTTTATATTACACTCAAAAGTACTTATTGGCTTCGTCACAAACAAATTAATCTCAAAAACTGAAATGAGATTCTGAAAATGGAAGATTCTAATATACATTAATAATATAAAAACAATGTATCTGATAAATGCATTGTAATTTTATAATTCTAATTAATTTGCTATATAACAGGTTGATGGAAACATATTTTACCACTTAAACAACCAGATACAAACAGGCAATGAGTGGGAGAAAACTTGGTGCTGACAACATAATTTGAATGACTAGAGTCAGACCTTAATTCATGAAGAGGAGAAACGGATTTAGGAACACTGTCACACAATTCACTACAAGAGGGATGAAATGTTAATAATCTAACTCCGTAGCCATATGGTGAACAAATCAATCTACCGTCTGTACTAAAACAGAGTTCTTTGATAAAACCTCTACCGACGTTAGGTTCTGAAATATAATGAGTTAGTCGAGGAGTATTTCTGTAAATCTTATGAGATGTGTGATTTGATTGATCCTGAGATCTATTTGGACCTAACAACAAAAATGTATGAGCACCACGCTCTGATCCTGTCCTAATAAAAAATGCTGGACGTTCTGAAGGAACAATATGAGTAGAACTATTATCTGCTTCTTCACTGCTATTACTATCATCAGAATTTTGTGATCTAGTATGAATAGTGGGAGAAGCTTGAGATGCTCCAGATGTTCCTTCCTGAGAATTCACAGAATTTTGAGTTCCTGCTGGCACTGACTGTGTAATTCTTCGTTGTGAAATACGCAGTTCGATATTACCAAAACGGTAACTCTCTGTTGTTGTATTTCTATTGCCCTGAGTATCAGAACGATTTATTTCTTGGTGTCTGAGAGACTGAGAACCATAATTGAGTCTAATGTGCACAACTGGTCTTTCTCGAAGTGACTGAGATCCAGAAATTTCCCGAGAAATTTCCAGGCTGTTACTTTCAACAGAATTAAAATTTTCAGAATTATTTACACTTGATTCATTAACTGTTTCATTTTCATTCCGAGAAACACCAATCAAAGTTGTTAGCTGGGAATCATCACTCACTTGACTGTAAGGTTTCTCTACTTCTTGAATGTCATGAATACAAGTCCACTGAAATAACATTACAAAAACTTCAATATCACCATCAAATTATTTTGTTAATTAGTATGAATAAAAATAAATAAATAAGTACACAGGATGGCCAAAAGTGTGGATTTTAAGTAATTTGCCTTACATAAGATTCTTTTATAATCTTAATAATGTTTTTCAGTTCAAATTTTTCCTTTCCCTTTTTTTTTTGCTAAATTTAAATTTTTTTTTCTGTTAGACTAGAACTATCAATGCACTAACAAGACAATTTATATTGGTACAATATAAAATAACTAAAGTAACTTAAGGATTCACAAGTACTTGGAAGCCAAAGACCATCAATTTCAGCATAGCATTTGTTGCAACTGCAGATACTTAAATAAATCTATACACCTTATTTCTCCATAAATCTAGACTTTTGGGCCACCCAGTATACCTGTATAGTACATATAGTTTATATTCATTCCTAAAGAAATATATTCTTTTCTTAAAATAATTTTCTGAATATTGTTTTTAAGGATATTACTTTCAAAATTAATTAAAATTCTAGTCTTAATTATTACCACAAATCCTAACTTAATTCCCATCAGTGATTAGGTGAGGCATCTCTGTTTTAAACACAATTTTTATTGGAAACATTTCACTTAATCACCAATGAACAATTATGTGAGCAATGGTACAGTACATGGAGTTTCAATCATTTCATCAAAGTAGATATTTTGCATTAAGTATTCCATCCAATAACAAACATGATAAGAATTACCAACAAATTCTAATGCTTCTGATATTTTTGTTCACATATCAATATATTATTATTATTTTAATTTTATAATGCTATTCTCTCCAAGACAGACAGAAAAAAAATGGTTTTTTCCCCCACAAGCTCAATAAGGTTTTCATTGTGCGACCTTTCGGGTCGGCACCTCCTTAGTGCCCTGTCAGGATTGACACCACCATGTTTAGCGAAACATGGAAATCAAGACGACGATTACGTCACACCGTCACGCGAGCGGTCCCGCACGTGGTCAGACAGATTTGTAAGGTTAACCGATGGAGAGACAACACAAGGGAAGTGACTCAAACTACAATTAACAATTAACAAGGGTTTATTTTAAAATAAATTGGATAAAGTGTTGTCGCAGAGAGAGAGAGTTCATACGGTTCGCGTGGTGATAAATATCTTTGGTAATAGATATTCTGGTCAGGTCATGTTGAATCGGAGAACAAGGTAATAGTTCTTCTTATGGGCTTTTTCAGGATGTATCCAGGGGTAAAATATGAAGTCAAACCGTCCCTTTTGATTTATCCAAAAGGCTTGATCGTGCACTAACACACACACAAAAAAGGTTATCCTATGGGCAACTACTAAATGGGTGACAATTAAATGGACGACAACTTCTTTCCTCTCCTAGGACTAAAATGGCAACTAACTCTTTTTGGCCGTCTCTGGTGATATTCACGGACGATTTTGGCCATGCAGAGGTTAATAGTTCACGAGAAAGCGTCATGTTGCTTTCGAGAAAATGTAACGGGAGACTTTCTCAGGTAGCTGAGACCAACAATTGTTGCGTAACTCGCGCAATGTTACTATTAAAGACTAGTTCTAATGTAGGAATTTCTGCTATCTCACAATTGCAAGCCAACATAACCTTTGAACTGAAAATGTTACCTATTGGCCAGTTTGATGACATCTATCTATAAGCATGATTTCAAGGTCCATAAATGGGCCATTGCCAAGCAACAGTTGTGGGTCTATTTTTCTGAATGTAATTGCCCATGGGTGTTTAAGTGAGGATTTAAGGTAATACCCCATTCGCACCGAGCATTTCGATCTAGATTGTGACTAAGGTTGGAGACTGTTCCGTGGTGCAAACGCTCTTGACTGTTTCAATCTCAACTGAAACGAGGTTTAATAGCGATCGACTGAAGAGAGTTCTCAAAACCAGATCCAGTCATAAGAGAGATCCCACAGTCCCACGCGCACGAGAAAATACAAGATGGTTGCAGAACACATGTCGGGCTATTGACAGAGAAATAAAAAAAGACATCTGGAGAGACGACGACATCTGTCTATTATTAGATGTATGGCAAGAAAAAGTATTTATTTCTAACCAAAACTTCCATTTTGTTTGTTGGTGTTTGTGACTTACCGTGTAGTTACGTCAGTTTTATGATCGCGTGTAATAGCCAGGTTCTTCTTGAGCGGACTGTCTGTGCGAACAGCACGACGTTCGACTAGTGACAGTCACAATCCAGATTGTAGGTAAATTGAGATTGAAGTGAGTCGTGGATTGTGTGCGAACNAATATTACCGACCTTAGAGATCCTTCTGAATGTAAAAGTAATAATAATAAAAGATGAAATGTATTAAATAGCGTTTAAACAGTAAATATTCTATATATTTGGACACTGCAGTTTGGGGTCTGCCATGCTACAAAACAAGGTGCTAACAAAAAAACAAACTAATAGTTCGAGGATCGTGGTTGAGTTTATCGCCAAAATATCGCCAAAATTATTTACTAAATTTTTTTTAATATATTAAAGTTGGAATATTTTCTAATCTAAAATAAATCGCAAAAATATGGTACTGTGTTTTTCAATAAAACTAATAAATATCTTGGTAAAAATAAGAAAAATAACGAAATACAGTATATTTGAGACGGCATTTGGCATATTATTCCGATAATTATGATTGTTATATTTATTGAATGTTACGTTTTTTAATATTAAATATTTAAAAAGTCATCCAGTTTTGCGCTATTATTGGATGAAATACTTAAATAAACAAGTGATTAGAAACTTTAAACGCTAGAGAAAAAAAAATTAATTATGGCGATACTCTTTTCTTTACTCGAATCTTTCCGCCCTCTGAGCATACAGAAGGGTTTTTCTGAGGCCCACTATGTCAGGCCCGCAATGGGATGAATGGGTCCGACATAACTGGAACAGCTCACGTCACAGAAAAAAGTCGTGGGGTTATACCAAGGTCCTAGGACCTTGGGCTAGACCGGCAATTTTAAATCAAGACCGGCAGTAGGCAAAACAAAATTATATTGTAATTGAAAAAAATATTTTAAAATAGTCTGAATAAAAATAAATAAATAAGTACACAGGATGGCCAAAAGTGTGGATTTTAAGTAATTTGCCTTACATAAGATTCTTTTATAATCTTAATAATGTTTTTCAGTTCAAATTTTTCCTTTCCCTTTTTTTTTTGCTAAATTTAAATTTTTTTTTCTGTTAGACTAGAACTATCAATGCACTAACAAGACAATTTATATTGGTACAATATAAAATAACTAAAGTAACTTAAGGATTCACAAGTACTTGGAAGCCAAAGACCATCAATTTCAGCATAGCATTTGTTGCAACTGCAGATACTTAAATAAATCTATACACCTTATTTCTCCATAAATCTAGACTTTTGGGCCACCCAGTATACCTGTATAGTACATATAGTTTATATTCATTCCTAAAGAAATATATTCTTTTCTTAAAATAATTTTCTGAATATTGTTTTTAAGGATATTACTTTCAAAATTAATTAAAATTCTAGTCTTAATTATTACCACAAATCCTAACTTAATTCCCATCAGTGATTAGGTGAGGCATCTCTGTTTTAAACACAATTTTTATTGGAAACATTTCACTTAATCACCAATGAACAATTATGTGAGCAATGGTACAGTACATGGAGTTTCAATCATTTCATCAAAGTAGATATTTTGCATTAAGTATTCCATCCAATAACAAACATGATAAGAATTACCAACAAATTCTAATGCTTCTGATATTTTTGTTCACATATCAATATATTATTATTATTTTAATTTTATAATGCTATTCTCTCCAAGACAGACAGAAAAAAAATGGTTTTTTCCCCCACAAGCTCAATAAGGTTTTCATTGTGCGACCTTTCGGGTCGGCACCTCCTTAGTGCCCTGTCAGGATTGACACCACCATGTTTAGCGAAACATGGAAATCAAGACGACGATTACGTCACACCGTCACGCGAGCGGTCCCGCACGTGGTCAGACAGATTTGTAAGGTTAACCGATGGAGAGACAACACAAGGGAAGTGACTCAAACTACAATTAACAATTAACAAGGGTTTATTTTAAAATAAATTGGATAAAGTGTTGTCGCAGAGAGAGAGAGTTCATACGGTTCGCGTGGTGATAAATATCTTTGGTAATAGATATTCTGGTCAGGTCATGTTGAATCGGAGAACAAGGTAATAGTTCTTCTTATGGGCTTTTTCAGGATGTATCCAGGGGTAAAATATGAAGTCAAACCGTCCCTTTTGATTTATCCAAAAGGCTTGATCGTGCACTAACACACACACAAAAAAGGTTATCCTATGGGCAACTACTAAATGGGTGACAATTAAATGGACGACAACTTCTTTCCTCTCCTAGGACTAAAATGGCAACTAACTCTTTTTGGCCGTCTCTGGTGATATTCACGGACGATTTTGGCCATGCAGAGGTTAATAGTTCACGAGAAAGCGTCATGTTGCTTTCGAGAAAATGTAACGGGAGACTTTCTCAGGTAGCTGAGACCAACAATTGTTGCGTAACTCGCGCAATGTTACTATTAAAGACTAGTTCTAATGTAGGAATTTCTGCTATCTCACAATTGCAAGCCAACATAACCTTTGAACTGAAAATGTTACCTATTGGCCAGTTTGATGACATCTATCTATAAGCATGATTTCAAGGTCCATAAATGGGCCATTGCCAAGCAACAGTTGTGGGTCTATTTTTCTGAATGTAATTGCCCATGGGTGTTTAAGTGAGGATTTAAGGTAATACCCCATTCGCACCGAGCATTTCGATCTAGATTGTGACTAAGGTTGGAGACTGTTCCGTGGTGCAAACGCTCTTGACTGTTTCAATCTCAACTGAAACGAGGTTTAATAGCGATCGACTGAAGAGAGTTCTCAAAACCAGATCCAGTCATAAGAGAGATCCCACAGTCCCACGCGCACGAGAAAATACAAGATGGTTGCAGAACACATGTCGGGCTATTGACAGAGAAATAAAAAAGACATCTGGAGAGACGATGACATCTGTCTATTATTAGATGTATGGCAAGAAAAAGTATTTATTTCTAACCAAAACTTCCATTTTGTTTGTTGGTGTTTGTGACTTACCGTGTAGTTACGTCAGTTTTATGATCGCGTGTAATAGCCAGGTTCTTCTTGAGCGGACTGTCTGTGCGAACAGCACGACGTTCGACTAGTGACAGTCACAATCCAGATTGTAGGTAAATTGAGATTGAAGTGAGTCGTGGATTGTGTGCGAACGTAGTATAACAGTAATCAGATAAACTACTCAATACTTTTTAGAAAAACCTTTTCCTACAATACATCTCTATGATTAGCAAGTCATTCCATTTTGAATAGCTTATAAATTTCCTACCTCAGTATTTTCATCACTGCTTGTGTTACGAGATAATACACACCATCCATATGGATGAACTTGTAATGAAGAGATAATTTCAGCATCATTTCCTTCAGGAAAATCTGATATAAGTTCAATTCGATTACGCTGAGCAGTAAATAAATGATTATATGAATAACCAATTGGAAAAGGTGTATTTCCCAT